AAGAAATGCAATTAAAGCAAGGAAATGAAGACTGGCTCACCACCTGACAACGGTTCTATCTTTTCTAAATGTTATTTGAAAAAAATATCACCACCACCACCACAAAACAGTCTATCTTTCCCCATACAGTCCACTTTGCCATGCTAGCCAGGACATCTTTCTGTCTCTGGCTCTGTTCCACAATGCAGATTTGTTACTGTGAGTCATTCTCACTAACAGGTACTGCACAGAGGCTCTGGGAAGCCTACCACTCATCTGAATGAGTGCTTCCCTTTCTTATTAGTTAAGGCTTCCTTCAAACCTTCAGACCTTCAGTGGTCTCAGAGTGGGAATGAGAGCAATTTCTTGGACAGCAGACTCCATCTGACACAAGCATGAAGGGAAGAGCAGCACAATGGCAATCTGCACAAATGTTAAGAAGAGGATTTGAGGGCAGAAAAGGGCTCCAAAACACAGAGAAAAAGGAAGAACCTTACCACAGTGCAAAGATGGCATGAGAAATCCAGGACGGTCACCAGCTCAGTGACTTTGTGGATGAGAAAATTAGGGACTTCCACGTGCTTTATAGACGGATAAGAATGATGAGAAGAAAAGGCTACGAAAGACAGAATGGATTTGAAGAAAGGATATACTGAAAAAAATTAAAATGGAGAAGAGAATTTTAAAAAATGGTGACCTTCTGCATAAACTTCATTTTAGTTCTTGAATATAACCACATAACAAGACTATATATTAATGATTGTTACTATGGAAGCAAGTTAAAAAATTATTGATGTCCCACAAGCAGACTACATGTATTCACCACTACATGAGCCCACAAAATGTGTATTTCTAAATTTTATTTTAAAATGTTTATTACGGCTACAACTTATAGCCTTTAATATATATACTTAATTAATATAAATTAATTAATCATACAATTAATATACTTTGGAAATCTATAATGCATACCTGGAATAAGTCCACGTACCCAGAGATCTGCATTTGCTGGGCAGAGCAAATGCTCAGAGCGATCCTTCCCTGCATCCCTTTCTACTGTCATGACAGATGTCCTACTGGCACTGCACCTGCTGTCTGTGTCCCTCACACATTGAAGAAGTGACTGAGTAAGAGGAAACAGCCTGCAGAAAGTCCTACTTTCATGCTTATTTTGCACTGCTACAATATGTCTACCATGAGAGGGGTTTCACTTGATTTAGCTCAGGAGAAGAATCAACCTCACAACATATCTCAAGGTCACTGAATCCACCCACCAATGCATAAACCCCTAACGTTCCTGACTTGCATTTCAAATGTTTGTTCAAAGGCAAAATATTTGCTTCAGAGCCTTCAGAGCATGTGGCTAAAATACTTCTACTGTATTCCTACAGTGATGGGTCAGCAAGTTTTCACCGCAGTTCGTCACCTAATAGGCAAATGACATTGTTTGCAAACAAGTGGGGGAAAAAAAATTAACCAAACTCAGCAACATTCAGTGGAACAACTATCAACAGATACTCTTTGACCAGGGGAAGGAAAAGGAAAGAAAGGGGGGAAATAGTGGTGGGGGTGAAAGGAAGGAAGGTTTTCTCCATCTTGGCAAGATTCTTGAGAAAATATGAGAAATTACTTTAATAAGCCACACGATACCAGATGTCTTATTTTAGTGCGTGAATAAATCCATAGAATATTCTTGTTTGAGGCCGTGTTGTTTGATTTTTGAGAATGCTGTGTTTGACATTAAAGCCTGAATCAATTACCCTTAAAAACAATTAAATGCTGATAAATAACATCATTTTAGAAGATCCATTAATTCTCAGCTCCACCCCCAGATCTGCTGCCATCATACAGGGGTTAAGAACCAAACACAGCCTTCCTCTCAAGTGTAGCTTCCCTCAGAGAAGGGCAGGGAGAAGAAGCTGGCAGGTGCTGTGAAAAGCACAAGGGTGGAGCATCTGCTCCTGTGTAGATTTTCCAGCCCTCCCACCCACTACAGGGAGAGATGCATATGAAGTGTGCACACTGCTTATTTTTAGCCAGCCATGCAGAGGGCCATCACATGGCTCTGTCCCATCATTCTGTTCCTCTCAGAGATGGCTACAAACGCCTCCCGCTGAGACAGGATTTTTTCCATTCGTGGTCGGTTTTTTTCCTCTTCCTTTGTGTTACCATATGTATGGGAACTGCTGAGTCACGGCCTGAACCTCTGATTAATCACCTGAGGTGAGCCTTGAGTCAGCCTGAGGAGCACAGGTGAAGGCAATTCAGCTGTGCTGCCGGAAGGGGTGGAGCCAGGCTGCACACCTCCTGGACCTATTTAAGAGCTGGCTACCAGAGGGGAAGGATCTCTTCTGGAGATCCCCTCTTCTGGTATCTTCTAGTGAGCTCAACCCAAAGGTAAGCTCTTCTACTTATTCTCTTTTGTGATCCTTGTTTGCTTTTGCCTTCCTCTTTTGATTATATTGCAATTATAACATCTTGGTCATACACCATATATATCAAAATGTGCCTGGATGATACATCTTGGTAGTCTCAGTGTAATTCTGCTAATCTGTTTAGACATACCATCCCTCAATACAACCTAATACATTTCTTCAGGATTTAAATAAACCCCCAGCCTCCTCCCACTCTGAAGAATTGGAAATATAGTTCTGCTTACTGAAAATATTCTTTTTTTTTTGGGGGGGAGAGGGGTTTTGCATTCAAGTGAGAACTATTACTGCTACTCCTCACACCATACTAAAAACTTTAAAAAAATCCTTAGAACTGTGAGGCAATTCTAAGACAAGTATTATTTTCTTCCCCATATGGAGTATTTTTATTTTCTATCTGAGCCCTATTTTTCTGTCGGTTATCAGATTACACTCCATGTGCTCATATTAACCAAAGTAATCCTTTTATGCAGTTCAGAGGATGAGGACTTTCACAGGCAGTTCTATTGAAAAGGACACATCATCTTCACTGAAGATATTATTCACGATTCACAGAAAGAGAAGTACAGAAAACAGTATCTTCCTCCAACACAGAACACACTGCTCAGCTTTAATAGCAGCCCATCACCCAGGAACATAGGTGGATGGATATTTCTGAGCTCTGTAGACCTCCAGTGACTAGGCTTTTAAAGGGAAAATTGGAAGGAATTGCAGAAGTTTGCATAAATAAAAGAAATACATTCCAAAATTTTTGCTTTTGAAGGCATATCGAACTGAAAATAGAGCTGCCTTGGAGAAAGTAACAAAACATAGCTTCCTGCAAAGAGGTAGGATATAATGGTAGTAGGTCTGAGGTCATTAAGCCAATGAGATGATGAAAACATAAACTGAGTGTTTAATACAATGCTCACGTAACTGGAATATTTCTTTCAAAGGTAAGTGGTGTGGAATGCTTGCTCTGATGGCAGCTAAAATGGAGCCCATTATCTCCTAAGGAGGGCTAAGGATTTTCCAGCGTGGAGCGGTTGTGGAAATCCCAGCTAAGGGCTGGAACCAGACAGAGGTTGAAGACTGAACAGGCACCGAGGCCTGAGGGTGAAAGACTCTCAGAGTACTCAATGGAGCAGTGGGATGACAACTCGGCAGCCTTTACTTAGAAAAGTATGTCTGAATTCATTATTGCAAGGTAGTCAGAGTACAGTTTACACTTTTAGCTATTGTGAGGTTACTGTCTCTATGAACATTCTTATTCTGCAGTAAATGGAACGTATCTTACCTTATTCCCACTCAAGATAGAGCAAATACAAATGTCTTCAGAGATACCTAAAGACAACATGCACAATCTAGCTATGACATCACTCAGAAATATAATTCCTTGCTTTATGGTAACTCACCTGCAGCCATGCTGCCTGAGAATCAAACAGCCAGCATAAAGCAAACCACCTACTTGAGAAGCAGTCGCCCAGCTGCTCTGGCTAAAGGGCCAGTTGAAGGTAGAGCAGAACTGTGAGTGATACAGAAGGAAGTGCTGCTGCTGACCATCTCTAAACTAGGCTGAGAAATTATATATATTTATGTGCAATAGTCTTTATCCAGAATAAAATATGACTGAGACATTTCTTTCCTTGAAGAAATCCTGCTCAAACCAAAGGAACAAACATGCTCATACCACATGTCCCTCAGAGAGCTGAGCATGCCCTGAGGGCGACATACCTGCCATCCAGCTCCTTTCCTTTAGACCCTGCACACTAGCCCTCTGCACACACACAGTGGATATTAAGGTCTGGAGTACCTTTCCTATGAAGAAAGGTTGAGGGAGCTGGGCTTGTCCAGGCTGGAGAAGAGAAGGCCTTGGGGAGATAGCACTGTGTCCTTCCAGTACTTGAAGGGAGCTTATAAATATAAGGGGGACTGATTTTTCACATGTTCTGCTAGTGATAGAACAAGGGAGAATGGCTTTAAACTAAAAGAGGGAAGATTTAGATTAGATGTTTGGCAGAAATTCTTTATTCAGAGAGCAGTGAGGCACTGGCACAGCACTCCAGAGAAGCTGTGGTGCCCCATCCCTGGAGGTGCTCAAGGCCAGGTTGGATGGGGCCCTGGGCAGCCTGATTTGGTTGGGTGGCAGCCCTGCCCATGGCAGGGGGTTGGAGCTCAATGATCTTGAAAGGTGCCTTCCAACCCAAGCCATTCTATGATTTGCCAATCAGACAAGTATACCACACCTTAAATTCTATTGGTTCAGAGTAAATTTAGGGGTGTACTTAAACATATATTGAAGATGCTCTGCTACATTAGCTGCAGGATGCTAACCACTTCAGATTAAAGAAATAAAACTGTCTCTGTGAAAGGAAACTCCTTTGTCTCCTTTGTAGGAGACCGTAATACTCTGCTTTGTAAAATTACATTTAGCCCTGCACATATTTAAAAACTTGCAATGAATATGTAGTAAATAAATGCAGAATTCAGTGCTCACATTGCTGCACATCTCTGCAAAAGCAGCTATCAACAACCAACAAAAAACATCAGAGAATGGATAATGCAACCTGCACTTGGTCGAAAGAAAAACAGGAATAGGTAAGACATTACCTGGTTATAATATAACAGTTCTTACAGATTCATCCCAGCAAGCCTCTGGAGACGTGCTTGTTCTTCACAATTATTATGCATACTTTAAGAAATGTCAGCATCCAGCCTGAATATTCAATCTGTGTTGATGTCGTCCCTTCACAATTCACACTACTGTCAGTTATTCAGCCCAGTCAAACAATATTTTTTGTTTCCTGAAAGAACAACAGAGCATTGTAAACAAGCAAATAATCAGCGATTCACTTTCAAGATTCACTTCAGATGACTGCAGCTAAAACTACCAAAAAAAAAATCACTTTCAAAAATCATTAATGTCTTCATGAGCGCTCTCTGAATATTACCTGAGTACAAATTCACATCAACAAATAATGACAAATCGCACTTGTCTTTCTTTTCAAAGTACAGCTTTGTAGCTTTTAATAAACTGTAGCCAAAGGCAACAAAATACCTTGCGGAAATTCTACTTGCTCAGCTTTTCCACTGCTGCCTCTTCAGAGAGATGCTTTCTGCACAGTGAACCACAGCACGTATAGAGCACTGTGACCTTTTTGATTTTGGTTTCAGCAACAAGGTCAACAATACTGAGAAGAACAGCTTTGCCTTAAAGGTAAAATCTCTCCAACAATCTAAAATGGATCTTTTAAATGTAATTGAACTATAATAATTCATTTCCATAGGCCACAGGAACAAAATGCCTTCTAGATTCGCAACCAATTTTACAGTATTTGGCCACTGACAATACATGTAGGCAGAGAAGCTGGACTATTACTTCTTGGATTTCATGCAATGTTAATTCAGACAAAAATTTTTAGGTGAAGACTGACAACCAACAAGGAGCCCTGCAGATGAATACAGAATGATCCAGGCCTGTC